GGTCCCCGGCAGCTCTGGCCGTGTTCCCGTCCGAGAGCAGCACAACTGGGGCGTCATTCCTCACAGAATGTAAAAAAAAGAGCCTTATAAGTGGGCAAAGTTGTCAACAGATAACAAGCTGAGCACCAAATACCGATTTTACATAGAGCTTACTTTATGAATCTTGTATGAGCTGTACAGAAACTGCACCCTGTGACAGAAGAAACCACCACCCGCCTGCCCAGATGTTCGGTGCTGTGCGGGACTCGTTTCACCATGGCTTGGCAGAGGGTGGCAGAACGCAGTCCCGCGGGGAGGAGAGGAGGGACAGGAGGGAGGGGAGGGGAGGGCCTCAGCCTCAGCCTCAGCCTCAGCCTCAGCCTCAGCCTCAGCCTCAGCCTCAGCATCAGCCTCAGCCAGCGCGGCCTCCCCCGGCCCGGGGAGCACACCCAGGCTGACAGCGCTGCTGCGGAAGAGCTCTGGCCTGAGCTCGACCCCCTGTGAGGGCTGGAGCAAAGTTCTGACAAGATGTGTGGTGCAAAAAGTGAATCATTAATATTTCTTGGACTGCTTTTCAGCTGCCTAGAAATGGTGAGTGCAACTCATTTGCTTTAAAACTGTGTTCAAGAATGGTACTGTACTCTTTGTAAAGTAAAAGTTAGGGGAGAGATAATCTAACAACCACTTCTACATTTGTATTTTGTTACACTTCTGAGGGGTTTACAAGTGACTGAAAAGTGAAATAATTTATTAGGACCCAGGGTCTTTTGAAGTCTGTCAACAAATTAAAACTGGATCAATTAGAGAGCAAAATGAAGAAGCAGTATGATCTGCATACATGTACCAACTCTCATTGATTGCATAAACTTTCTGTGCTTAAAGAATCTAAGCAAATACATCATATCAGAAAAATGTGTTTAAAATGTAGTATTTTAAGGTGTTATTGCTAACATTATTTGGGTTTTCATTTGCCAAATAAAATATTTAACTTTGTATTTCTAATATTTTTTAATTTTTTTTTTACATCTTCCTTTTCAGATCTTCTCAGCTAACACAGGTAAATCTTCAAAATGGTAGTTTGGTTTTGCCTGCTAATTTTTTTATGGGTCTGAAAAGAACACGTGATTTCTAATAAAACATTGTAAAAGTTCTAGCAGCTTTATAAACAAATATTGTTTTCAAGTGTGATTCAGCTTTTAAAAACCTATGTTGATACCTTTATAAATTTTAGACTTCATTTTTAGGAGTTCTGATTCTGTTGGACACTTGCACAAAGATTCTCACAGACCACTTATGCCTTGACACTAGAGTGAACCAGGGAGAACACTCATCTGAACAAATTGTGCTGTTAATAACCTACATAATTGTGCTACAAATAGAATTAAAACTGTCTTATATTTGAACCCAATTATTTGTTGCATTATTTAAATTAAAACAAAGCACCACACCCTCCCAGAAAAAAGCCAACTGAATTAGACTATAACATATGAGGGTTTTAAGAAAAATAGCCATCATCACAATGTGATATCATGAGAGCAAGCAGCAGTTATTACAGTAATTAATGGATTACAAAAGTGAACAAGGGAAACAGTACTCCAGATTCAGTGGAATGCATATAATCTGAATATTAGGTCACGTAGATGCTTGATAAGGCACTGAACAATCTTCTTGTCAAGACTTAAACAAGTTTGGGAATTATTGAAATTGGTTTTTGATATTATTTTTTTTTCAATTTTGTTTTTGTTGTATGTTTTAGGTTTCTCTGTGTCTATATATGATGTGACATCACAAAGCATTTGTCTCAGGTGCCTCAGGTTTTCAGGAGCCTCCTCTTACAGAGTCACAGCTACAGCTATGAATAGTGTAGACCATTCATTACTCATTCGTTTTAGTAATGTTACACTTCAAGGAACTCTAACTTCATTAATTCCCAGTACTATTTATGCTATCCAAGCAGAAGCCATTGACAGGAATGGAATTATTCTTGCAGAAACACAGATTATGCAGTCCACAGGTTAGTAACAGAAACTTTGTGAAGTATAATTTTCATTGACCTCTGTAGGACTGGGATTTTATCTGTGATGTTTCATTGTACTGGTAGGGAACAGCTGCCATTCCTGTTCAAGGCTGGTTCTGCTGCTCAGTTCAGTATTAGCATGATTAGCTCCTTTTCCCCTCGTTTCTTAGTATGTATGGTTCCCTAACCTGCTGTGCACAGCTTGCTCAGGCTGCAGCTTTCCAAATCACCTACCCTTTCATTATAAGTGGAGGTGTGAAGCTGTATGCATTTTTCAGTACTGATTCTGTATTTTTGTTTCATTCACAAAAGGTCTTGTAGCATAGAAGGCATGGATAAATATTGAAGAAGGATCTATATAAATAGAAATGCTTTTTTATTTCATCATGGAAAATTTCTGTTGTGATTCTGTTTTGTAAATAATTTAATTGATTATTTTTAGAAATTTTAGAAAAAATATAATTTTTAACTGATAAATTTTAGAAATATTATTTTTCTAGCAGATTTTTTTCCTATAAAAGTAATTTTTATCATAAAAATAGAATTTTTTTTTAAAGCAGTGTTTATACTGGAAAAAAGTCTCTATTGCGAGCTTAGTTATGGGAGAAGAGATACTAATAATTAATGTTCTGTAATTTATTTATTATATAAAACATATGCTATATGTTCTCTGCTTTACAGTTAGGCAGGTACCTCCCTTAGACTTGCATAAGGATTTCCCACATGGAATTTTTTATTAATTATTACTAAAGACAGGGAAAAAAGAAATCAGAGAGCAGAACATCCACTTCTTTGAATAAATTGCTTTGTGTATTGCTTTCTAAAATCAGCCAATATAGTTATTTGGCTATTAGAGAAAGACCTCTCAGTGTAACCTAGGTTAAATAATGCTAATTTTTAATGGTGATTTCAAGGGTACTAGAATATTTTACTGAAAGATGAAAGTTGGTCTAGAATATGTCAAGACTCTGTGTTTTGTTTGTTCACATAAACTTCTTTTAGCTTAAATTGTAATCATTCAAATAAAGTGTAGGCCATTTGTCCTACACAAGAAATGTTCAGAGCACTTAGCATTTCACAGGGCTGGGTTCCCCAGCTTCAGTATGTGTATCATTATTTCTCTTCTAGCTCCAGACATACCTGTTATTGACCAAGCTTATTCAAAACTTAGCAACAGTATCACAGTGGAATGGAAAGCAGTACCTGGAGCTACTAGTTACCTGTTGACTGCAGAAGATGGAGATTCCTTCATTGAAACTGTAGTTACAAATTCTCCAGGCACAGTGATGGGACTGAAACCTGCCACCTTATACAGAATCACAATCAGATCTATAAATTCAGGAGGAAAAAGCCAGCCCTCACTCTTCAGAAAAGCAAAAACAGGTGGACTTTCAAATTCCTATTCTTATTTCATACTCTGTAATGTTATAATAATATTATTCATATAATATAGAGCATTCATGCAAGCATCCTTTTTATTTTCTTATTTGAACAGAAAAAAACCCCAACAGTATAGTCTAGGCATGTACCAGTACTGAGTGATTATAATCTTGTATTTCAAATTGTTTTGATCACATTCTTTTCAGTTTTTGAGGACTAGAATTTGTCCATCTGAATTAATGACAAGAGCAAGAGCCAGAATTAATTATATACTTTATGAGAGTACTGTAAGTTAAATGTTTCATAGAAAGCTTTACTAGAATTTAGATTAATATATGTATTTTATTTTAGGAAAAATTTGATTTTATTTTAACAAAATACTTAACTTGGTGATTTTCATTCTTCTGCACTCTAAACTTTTTATACTTTGTGTATGAGTTGTGTTCATTTTACAAAACCTTTAATAAAATGGATGCACCAATTATTTTCCATATGCATTCTGTTGAATTGATTTAATTGAATTAATTTACTTTTCTGTTTTTCTTGTCACTGAATTTGTCTCACAGTTGGGTATTTCTGTATTCATTTTGAATTTGGCCCTTTCAGGCAGTATTGCCAAAAAACCAAAAGCATAATTGGTGTTCTTTCTCAACAGTCCTGGCTGCTCCAGTTCTGTCTGTTAGTTCTCCGAGTTGTGACTCCATTGCAGTGAGCTGGAAAGTTGTGCATATGGCAGCTGGATTCTCAGTGTCCCTCATGAGATCAGATGGGTTGGGCAGAATGCTGAAGGAGAACACCACCAACACCTCCTTGATATTTACAAATCTAGATCCAGGAACGCTCTATACTATCAAGGCATATGCCTGGAATGTCAATGGGATACCTGGAGATGATTTCACATGCAACCAAAGAACAAGTAAGACATTTTACTTTCTGAAACCAAGTAAGCATTACAAAAAATAAGTTAAAATACATATATATACACACACACATGCACCAGGAAGATTTATGTGTATGTGATTGTGTTACATTTTTCAGATACATTGGGTAGATTTTCAGATTATACAATTTTTACCCACATCTCAAAGTTCATGAAAGCTCAGATGACATGGTTATGTTTAATGAATATTACTGAGGCAAAGATACCATAATTACCACCAAAGTTGTAAGTAGGACAGACCTGAATAAGGATTGCAAAAGCTTATACTGATATGAGGATTTTTCTAACTGTGAAAAGTGAATATGAGTTTCAACAGATAGCTTTGTGACAGTGTACAACCAGAGCTAAGTCTTTAAAAAATTGTCACTTTAATATGAATGAGGGTAAGGTCAGCATCACAAAAAGTGTATTTAGTTTGCAAGTTACAAAAAAGATCATGTCTGAAGGCTATACACTAAGTTGTATTTATGTGTTCCAAACTGATATATTGTAGGTCCCAAGGCACCAGCAGATGTTCAAGTAGTTTTTCATAGTGATGCTTCAAGAGCTATTGTTTCTTGGATACCAACCAAAGGAGCTCTAACTTACAGTGTGACAGCCTCCAGTGGACTCTTGAAACTGAACTGTAACACATCTTCTGCCTCCTGCCTGGTGCTGTCACTCCAGTGTGGCTCTGAATATTCTGTTTCTGTCACAGCATACAATGATGCTGGATCCAGTAAACCTACTGAGGCAGTAAGCTTAAAAACTAGTATGTATCATTGATCCTATATAACTAATGGCATTTTAACATATATTTCTTTAATTTCAAATGTTAGTCCATTTCAATTCATAAGTGATCATCAAGTAGTTGTTTCTGCCTCTGAACTTTGTGCGTGAACTGAGCCGTATACCTTTCTATTTTGGGGATATCAGCCTAAACTTCCTTCATATTTCTGTGATAAAAGCTTGCAATAGTGTATATATTGTTGGCTGAAGCATTTTCCTCTTACCAGAAGTACCTGTTCTAAAGTCAATTTTCTGAACTTAAGACTCATGTTAAGGAGTAAGATCTGTCCTACTCTGTCAGGTCCGGCACAAATAGATTGGGAGAAATCTGTGAGGAAATAGAAATAAGGACTGACCCTAGGCTGAGAACTGTTCTAGGCTAAATCTAATTGTTACTTAGGAAATAACCACATGCAGCTAAAGTAGCACCACTAGGATAAGTTAAGATACAGTCATAGAACATTTGGAGGTAGCAGATTTGTCAGGACAAATTTAGCACCACTGCCACATCAGAGGTTATTGCTTCCTGACCTGTTAGATGACTGTCTGTGTATGCAAAATCTAAACCATTTTTGTTATGTGCTACCTAAAAGACACATTATTTATTTATTTGATGTAGCCTGCCTCCTTTTGACTTCTCATTGGCATGAGTTAAGAGATCATCCATGTTAGTGACTCAGAAGTAGCACCCTCTGTAAAGGCAGATAAGTTGCTGTTTTCTTGAACAAGACAGAACAACTGTTCAAACCAAGTAGAAAAATTCTATATATGTGGGTTTTTGCCTTTATTCCTTGAAAGCGTAACTCCCAATAAAAATATTCTGATTTCAAATATTTTTTTCTTTACTTTTAAATTTATTTTGTTTTTCAGTTCCTTGTGCACCAGTAAATGTATCAATCAAGGAGGATGAACCTGGCCACTTGTTGGTATCGTGGTCTAGCGTCAATTTTGGTCACTATTATGTGGTTTTTGTCAAAAGTGATGATGGCTTGGAAGTGCACTGCAACACATCACATACTCAATGCCATTTCCAGTCAGACTGTGGCTTCACTTACTTCATTAGTGTTTTTGCATATAACAAGGCAGGGCAGAGTCTTTTAGGTGATGTATTCAATTACACTACTGGTAAGTAGCAACATATCCTTGCAAATTCATGTTGGATCCATTAACTGTTTATGGTAGAGATGATTGGAGATTTTTATTGGAAGATAATGACTTAAATTTCTCTTTTTATTCAATTTTGGGGCAAAACACATGAAGGTCAGCAGAGAAAAAGAACCACTTTCCATTTAACTTGTGACTTGTGTAGTTACCTGCAACAACAATGGTTAAAAACTTCAGAGTAGTTTAACAATTCAGTCATCAGGCAGGGATATGTGAATAACACAGTCCTGGTATAACATTTGAATTCTAGTCCTGTATTGGGTAGGAGTGTACCAAAGTCATAAATATCCTCATAGAGCATTTTTCTTGTTTGGAAAATAAAAAAGTAATGGTTTCCATGGAGAATTATGAAAAATATTGTTATTTAACCTCTAGATGCTTTGGAATTTCAAGTTAAGGATATACATAATTTCTATGCCTTGCCTGTACACTAGAATGCCCTCTACTGATTTGGAAGGAGAGGTACTGTAATAATTTAAAGGCTGGGATTAACGAGGCTGTTTAGACAGTATCAGTCACCTTTGCAGATTTGAGACATGAAGCGCGTAGCTAAATGAAACGAGGCTCTTAGATGTCGTGCCAGTTTTCAGTTCACGTTCAGATTTCCCTCTCTGCCTTGCCTGTTCCCAGCACCTTGTTGCCCCAGTGACTTCAGGGCCGTGTTCGTGTCGAGCGACACTGTGCAGGTCACCTGGGCTCCTGTCCGCGGGGCTGAGATGTACGAAACGAGAGCTGTTGGCTGGAGCGGCGCTGTGCTCTGCAGCAACACCACCACAGCCTGCACCTTGTCTGCCCTGCAGTGCAACACTCACTATAACGTCACGGTTTATTCTTTCAGTGAAGCCAGGGGCAGCAACACGTCGTGTGCATCTAAGGATGTGGCAACAGGTATTACAGTCATTCTTATTTTCCTTCAGCAGAAGAAATAATTGGTTAGACACTGCAGTGATTCATGGATGAAAAGCATTACTGGAGTGCTAAGTTACTGTAACTGATAAAAATTTAAAAAAATACTAGAAGTCTTTTTAAAAATCCTGTAAGCAGGGACCTAAAGCCAGATTTGGAATGAAAACTTCTGAATGGTTCAAGTTTTTAAAAATCAGATTTACAATTAATATCTGGTTTTGTATGCAAAATTGTTATGTTGTCAGTTTTGTCACAAGTTTTAAATTCTCACCAGGAGTAAAGATTTAAGGATTATACTTATTATATTATTACTATATATTACTACTATTATTATTACTATATATTATTTCCAAAATAGTTCCTGCTGGAATTTGATATTCATGTGTAACTTGCATGGTATTTATAAACCATCTGTTTAAATAGTGTTAATATCCAATATTTCAGCTCCCTGCAGTCCTGAAATTAAAAATATCTCAAAGGAGGCTCTATCTGTAATCAGTGTGCACTGGCAATCTGACAATGAAGCAGCAACATATGTTGTCACTGCCAGAGGAGACGCTGGACTTTGGCATTGCACAAGCTCTGGAAATTCCTGTACCCTGATTAATCTTCCTTGTGGATCTGCTTTCTCTGTCAGTGCTATAGCAAGATCACCAGCAGGACAGAGCTTGCCAAGCTACAGTGTCCCTTTAGAGACAGGTATGTATGAATTATATATAGTTGAAAATATTTAGCAGCATAATATTAAAGAAGTTCTGTCTCTTTATATGTTTTGGCTTTTTCTAATGCTCTTGATCATGTACTCTTCTAGTTGCAACTGCTCAGAATACCTTCCATTTTCCAAGTACAAAACAGAATAATCTATTTTCTTGTTCCTTAAGCTCCCTGTTGCCCTAGTGACCTGATACTAACTCAAGTGACACAGTCTGTAACAAATATCAGCTGGTCTGTTGGAATGGGTGCACAGACATACATAACAATGCTGGAGTCTCCAAAAGGACAGGCAAAGTGTCACACTCTTCAGAACTACTGTCTCCTGGGATGCATCACATGTGACACCAACTATACAGTATCTCTGAAAGCAGTCAGTGAAACGGGATTGACATCCAGTTGCACATATCAAGGATATTCTTCCAGTACGTAAATTGTAAAAGCAATTAGGAAGAAAAAGATTCAGCAGGCAAATAACTTTGTATAGTGTTCCTCTCATACAAATAGTTCATCTGAAATTCAATACATAATAATCTGAAGAGTTTCCTCATTTAAATAAATTAACTTTGGACTACTTTAATGTATAATTTAAACCCTGTTCTTACAGTGGCCATCAGGTGGCCCTATAAAGATGTTTTGATAACATTGCTCCAGAAAGAATTTTTAAATTTAAATTATGCAATGCTATAATTATATTTTTGAGACCCCTGGAGGATTCTGGGCACTCTGGGGTAGCCCTGATGCCTCCATAATCAGGAGAGAGCAACAATATTCAAACATGTAAAACAATAGCTGAATTCCAGCTCTGTAAGTCTGATAGAACATGTTCTTCCCTAGTTCTAGAATTATTTTGGCTTTCTGTGAAATAATTTCTCATTGGTTTAAAATGCTCTCCAGGAATGTATAATGTATTGTGGGTTCACGAAATTTGCTTATTAATGTGTTTTGTTTTATTAGGTATTTGCTGCCCTTCTGGAGTGAAGCTATATAGACTTGGCAGTAATGGTATCAGGGTGTACTGGCGCGCTTCTGACAAAACAAACTACAATACTGATTTATTTGGCTCAAAAGGCAATTTCACCTGTAGCCCTATCTCAGGTCTAAGTCACTGTGATACCACCAAGATACCTTGTGGGGATGTGTACACAGTGGTAGTATCTCCAGTTACTGATAAAGGGCTGAGGCTCACATTTTGTCCCAAAAAAATATATTCAGGTAAATAATAATTTCTTTGATTGATGTACTTTTGTCCATGCATGCTAGGTGGTTAAAACCTAATGCAAAGTTAAGTGAGTAAAGGTAGCATGGAGTAGAACTTTTCTATTCTACTGTTGACTCCAGAGCAGAATGAGTGCTATCTTGAAGTATCTGTGACAGGAACTTCACAGGAGCATTTTGAGACTGGGCATACTTACCTACACAGGTGCCTTTTAACTGGATCACCTATTACCTGGTGAACACAGAGAAGCTAGTTCTCAGTTGGGAGGTTAGTAGTGGTTAAAATACAGAATCAAAATGAGGATTCTTAATTGTTGTTTTATGGAATTACTGTTTCTGAATAAAGAAATAGATCAAGAACTTCTATGAATGACTCCTAAGCACATTTTTAAAGTAAAAAAATGTTTAAAGGATTAGTAAATTTCCTTGGGATTCCTTTCCCAGGGCATACATTTAATCCATTCTAGAACTACTGCTGTCTGATAGGATTAGAGTTGCATAGCATGGACAACATTCTACAGACTACTGATGTTTTACAGCTTACAACCTGACACCTAACATGTACACTACTGTTTAATGTAATTTCAGTAACCTGTTCTGGAAGCTCTGTTGGAATGGGTAAGAGATGTTTCTAAAACATGTTGGCATCATGTAACTCCAAATAAGATGCAGATAATATATATGTTTCAGATAGTCAAGGCTTGTGTTAGCAGGTTTGTCTCAGTGCTCCTCCCCATCTTATAATGTATAATTAAAAAGCCCCAAACTTACCTATTTTGTGGCCTATATACCATCATGCAGGCTATGCTGTCACACTGATAGCACATAATAAAAGGCAGGCTTATCCTTTACAGCCTTGCCATGTCCTAGTACAAATGAAACTAAGTTGCACTTGTGATTTTTAAATCTAAAAAAGTAAAAAAAAAAAAAGTGTTGTTTACCTCAGCCTGTTCTACTTTATTTCATCAAGGGTTTCAGGATAGTCTCATGCTTTATTTGTGCTATATAAATTCCTAGAAACAACTTAAAAACCAACAGTCACTAAAACTAACATTTCTCAAGATAGTGCTTTTTCATAACTGAAATGGTATTAATTTCTGAATTCTGTTACAGTGATTTATAGAGGAAAGAGCAATCCAGAACAACATACCTAGATGGAAATTCTGGTTCAGATAAGGAGGTAAGTTATATGAGTAATAATTCAGATTAGGATGTATTAAACTTTCCTGCTGCTTAAATCTTTGGGATTGGAGGGATAAGCTTCATCAGCCCTGTATATCTTAAATATAACTGGTTTGTTAAAATTAATCATGTTTACCTCAGAAACTTCATGGTGTCTGCTCATACTATCAAAACTAATTTGTCCTTCCCTCCATTTACAATAAAACCCTCTTTCACATTATTCATCCTTTTCTAACACTATCCCCAGGAAAGCCCTCAAAATCCAAACAGATCAGGATACTCTTCAGTGTTCATTTACTTTCTCTGCTCGTTAAAATTGCACATTCTTCAACAAAAATACTTGTGTTCTGGACTATTTACTGCCCTTGATTCAAAAGGATGGTAGGAAGTCACTGCTGACTTTCCAACCCCCCCACCGAGAGTTGATCATTTTCTCTTTGCTGCTGTCCTGGACATTAGGGTGATTGATAACACCATTCACCATGAATGCTTTTCTCACTCTTTCTTTACCTGAACATGGAAAAATGATGTCTGTGCTTAACTAAATCAGTCGTGGCTGCTTGAGGACCAGGAGGGAAGCTGAACAGCTAACCATAGCTGAGATCTAATAAAAATTTGAGCCCCAACTGATATTTAAATGCAGATGAACACTGGTAGATATCTGTAATCTTCAACTGTAATTTTCCCTGTAAAGCAGTTTTAAAAGCTCTTCCAAGACAGTTATTAATCAGAAAGTGTGTTCTAGACCTCATGTACCAATGAAATAGTAAAGGCTAAAATAAAGATTAAGAGTTAAATTTAACTCCTTAAAAAAAAAAAAAAAAAAAGCAGCAGTTTAGGTGCACTAAATTAAAAGTAATTTGAAGCTTAATCAAGTATTCTAAGGCTTCTTCATTTTAATCTAAAAAAATGTTTATTCCTTTACAATTCTGAGAGGTGACTCCTGAGGGTAAACATAATGTCCCTTTCACATCAACAGACTGGTTTTGGTTTGTGGCTAATGAAGAACTGACAGTTATTACTAAAATTTAAATTTCCCATTTTTCAGAAAAGTCAGCAGCTTTTCTCATACTCTATAGCAGTTACTTTTTCAGCCAATGTATAAAGAAAGTTGAAGGGTTCTACATACACAAAAAAGTAAAACAATTACTCAAAAATATCTTCCAGAAGCAGTATTCAGGAGCTTCTGTACAAAAGTTAGCAAAGGCAACAGGGATTTTAACAGTATTTTCAGCTTGTGAAAACAGACACCATGCATACTGGAAGTTACCTTGCTTCACAGAACAGATTTGTACTGGGTATCTCAGTCACTGCTTCTGATCATTTGCACAAAATAATCTTGTGGGAATCTCACTCTTCAGTATATTGATTATAGATGGCCCAAGAGTGACATGTTGCTTCTTAGAACACAATCTGCATTTATTCATTGTCAAACAAGTCTTTATTTAGGAAAAGCTATTTAAAAGTGCCCTGAATTACTTAATAAAAATGTTTGGTTTCTCATTTGATTTGAAAAAAAAAGAAAAAAAGTACTATTCACAACTTTCTTCCTTGAAGGTTTTATTTAGATATTTTTTCTTTGCATCATTGATATTGGTGTCAAACACTATCACTAAAGCCTAAGTGTTTAACCAAGTGGCTGTTAACTGGATCTTCAGAGGTCTAAAGCAACCACTTTCTTTTGGAATCAAATTCAAGCCACAGCTTATTTGTAATTGTATTTGACATAGTAGTAGTAGCTCAAAATGTAGGATGTCTTCAATCCAGTAAAGAAACTGGCAAAAAGTTATCCTTCAGTTGGTTTCAGATTTGATGCAAAATTGCTGAGAGTTAAGAGGTGTTCTCCCACATCCAACTATTGTTGGGGAAGAGGGGAGGAGAAAAAAACAACCAAAGTACAGTAACTGTGTTGCAAAACCTCCAGAGTTGCATTTCAGCACTGTTGTACCCTGCAGTATAGCTGGTGGACACCTCCTCTGTGTAAAGCTATGTGCTCTTCATAGCAGTGCAGTAAGGGCTCAAACACCTACCAGTAATCTGATTTTTTCCAGGTTTCCCTAAAGAGATCCTGTCTATTTGTAGACTATCTTTGAGTCAGTACAGTAATACTCAACTGTAAATACTAAAAGTATGAGCTCATTGATGTTTCTTCATCAACATATAAATGGAAGGATAAATAACGGGTACACATGGTGTATGTACCCCTCAAATGTAATCTGATATATAGCCCTGCCATTCAAGTTTTCTTTTTCAATAAATCATCAAAATACCACTCCTATTATAGAATCACAGAATCATTAAGGTTGGAAGAGAGCTTCAAGATCATACAGTCCAACCATACTCCAACCACCACAACACTGTATGTGGCAGTAGGTGGAGGTGGATGTGACTCTCTGGGTCCAAAGCCTTGACCCTGCCTTAAAATAAAAGAACACGTTTGCTACTTTCAAGGATCTGAAATACTGGTCAACTAGTTAAGTAGTATCTTCAGAAGATAAAAACAAAATAGAAGTGCATTTCTCAAATTAGTATTATTAGTCCAGATAAGTACTTACTGCTTGGAGCCTCAGGAAATTCCAGACAGATTAGACTTCAGGAGGAATGCCTACCCCAGCTAGGTAACCATGGACACGTGGCATACTGTGGAGACTTCAGAGTGCTCAGTTTGTTATGCTTTTACCCTGAGAACTGAAGATTAACTGTGCAGGCTGCCAGACAGCTCTGCAACCATACCTCCTTGGAAAACTCACAATACTTCAAATTAAAAATTGCAGAATTTTTCTTCTAATGACCTCAAGCCAAATGCCCACTGCAGCAGTATGGCCAGCAACTGCAACAGACCATCAGCACTGGAGACTACATTCATCTTACAATTTCTGATCACAGCTGCGTTGTAGAAGTGCTGTGGATTTGTTCCTTCTGGTTTCAAGGAAAGTCACATGAAATAGAATGGCATAAAAAAGATAAAAAGGAATTAAAGAGTCCCTGGGTCCAAACCGAAGAGCTGCACGATACTAAATCCCAATGATAACTTAAGACTGGCATCTTGGTTTAAATTGTTTTCATGGATCTTGGTTAGTTATGAATATCGTGCTATCAATTACAGTGCTAGGTCAAGCACATAATACAGATCCAATTAAATGGAAAAATTGAGAAACTACTATTAATTGAAAAATAAAAGTTCTTAAATTACTGCACTTTTAAGAGATACTGGCACAGGCTGGTCTTTGCACAAGCTGTATCAAAATGTTCACTCTTTATTATGCTTAAGTGGCTCTCCCTGCTTTCAGGGCAAATACTGTTTCTCAGTAACCTGGGTTTTGCCTGCAAATAAATAATTCTTTACCTGTATTTCTCAATAATGGCAGCAGATGAGGAGCAGTGAAGGAACAACTGGAAACTGGTAATTCATTTTCCCTGATAAAACACTGGCCTTGCAGCCTTTCCGTCCTGTTTCGGAAACTCACAGCTGAAGGTTAAAAACTACCAAGACCAAAACAAGTCTTCTAAGTGGCAAATAAGTTAAAGTTGTCCTCATTGTTTTGACAGAATCCATGCAATCTCCTACTAGACTGCAAAGACCTTTGTAATATTCTATTACATTTCTTAAATGGACAAGAGTACTCCTCCTTCCTTATTACATGACAACTCAGTATTGTAGCAATGGAATTAACTTGTTGAAGCTTAAGCTGTATTTCAAGCTCAGATTTAAAATCAGGTAACAATATAACACCTAAACAACTTGAGTATTAAGAGATTTTGAATACTAAAAATCGCTAAGGTAACTAAAGGAAAGACTAAAATTTCAGTAGACAATAAAAGCAGGGAGGAAGAAAATCCCAAGTTTTTTACTTTTAGTTCTTTGAATATTGTAAGAGTATTGTAAGAAATTCAAGCACTGTTTGTTTTCTCCTGGAGGTTTAAAAATATCGTAGTATTTAAGTATGAAGCCTAGGCTACCTGCATAACACAGAAGCAAAAAAGGCACAAATATCAATTTATTTCTACCTTCAGATCACTTCATGATCACGAATGAGTTACACTTTATGTTCTTCCTATTTTGGGGCTCCTGCATTTGTTAGCTACATCTGCCTTATAGGGAACTTAATACATAAAATCTTCTATCACACAGTGTCACTCAGTCTGAAATTGAAACATGGAGCAACCCAAACACTCTTTAACTAGCAATAAACATGCAGGGAAAAGCTGACACTCAGTACAAAGGAATTAATTGAGAGTTTATTCCAGATGCTTCTCCTTACTTAGTATACAAGTCATCAGAATAATCTATCAAATAGACTTGGACTTAAATATTATTTTTTTTCTATTATGTATTTTGGTTTTTGCTTCTAACAACCTGTTTAAAAAAAAAATCTGCCAGATGAAATGTTCAGCACAAACTGCAATCCTTACTATTTGTATAAAATATGACTTAAAAAAGGACACTATCAGGTAATTCTTAATTTTAAGTGTTTACACATATAAAAATGCTTTGGAAGCTTGAAACTGAAATCCTTTGTAATAATTTTCTTCTTCCTACCTCCCTCTTCTCATCTTAAATGCCTTTATTAGCCCCAGATTATCGTAGATGACAGAGTAGAGCTGCTGATTAAAAACATTAGAAGACCACAAACGGGTAAATTGTGTTTAAAAAAAAAAAAAGGAAGCTTACATGGAAATTTTTTTTAAACAAATAAAATGCATAGATGGCTCCAATACTCATCTATCAACCTTACAGTGTCCACTTGAGGTAGCCTTTCTAAAGAATTACTAAACAAGCCCCAAACATAATCTAAATCTTTGCATCAAAACCACTATCTCCTTCCAAGTCCACTCTCAATTTAACACCAGTGGTGAGGAACAACATAATACATTTTAAAAGCTTTTGAAAAAAAACAGCAGGTACAGTGGACATAAATGTTAGTTCTAAATCTGCAGCCCTCAATGTACATTGTATGCACATAAATATATCAGCTATAATACACAAGATCCATCCCTAAAAGCCATACTATCATGTAAAGCACAGCCATGCTAATTTCAGGATACAAACCATAATTCCACATCTACAAAATCTAAGTAGAATTAGTGGCAGTTTATTGCCTCGTACAAATTTAACCAACATGGCAACCATGCCAAAGGAATTAAAACATTTTCAGGACATATGTACAGACTGTACATTTCAGAAACATCTGAACAATAAAAATGCAAGAACAATATCTGCATTACGAACTAAACTAATTGTTTGAAACCGTCAATGCATCAAATGGGTTTACAAAGGCACTTCCCTACCCAAAATAGGAAATGACAATCTGCAGCCTAGAGGGAGGTTGGAGAAGAGTGCTCAACTACTGCACAATCTCAACTTTAAGAAAAAATAAGCAGGATTTAATCAAACATTTATAGGATTCAATGTGATCCACTTCCAAAAGAGTTCACACAGTCTCATCTTTGTTTTTATGTTGCTTTTCTTGGCTCTCTCGTTCCGTACTTTGGCTCCTTCGACGCTCGTGTTTGTCTGAATGGTCCTTGCTATCACTGTGATCATGTTTGTGGGAACGTTCTTTGCTCTTGCTACGCTTTCTAGATTTTTCTTTGCTGGGACTCTGGTCTCGTTTTCTGGACTTCTCAACACTATCTGTTCTTCCTCTGCTTCTGCTTCTGCTTCGTTTACTGGACTTTTCTTTACTTTCATTTTTATGTTTACTTGATTTCTCTTTGCTCCTGCTTCTGCTGCGCTTACCTGTATTCTTACTTCGGCTCCTACTCCTATGCTTCCTTTCTCGGCTTCGACTTCTACTATGTTTTCTCTCTTTTTTTGAATCCCTCTTGTCATCCCGGTGTTTCTTGTCATCCTTGTCATCCTTATGTCTTCTGTCTTCCATATCACCTTTACTTTTCCTTTCTTTTGATCTTTCTCTAGATCGATCTTTTTCCCTCTCACTACCTCTTTCCTTATCATAATCTCTCTCTTTTTTTCGGCTCCGTTCATTTTCTTTCTCTCGCTCCCTATCCCTGTCTCTTCTATCACCTTTCCTGTCACGACTTCGACTACGGCTTCTGTACCTATCCCTGCTTCTGCTTCGCCTCCGCTCTACTGTGCGATCAGTGCTTCGAGATCGCCGCCTTTCTTTTTCTCTCTCCTTAGCTTCCCGTTCTAACCTCTGCCGTTCTCTTTCTCTTTCTAATTCTCTATCAAAGCTAGATGATCCATGGCCTTCCCGATGATGACTTCTGCTTCTCGATCTTCTGGGAGACCTCCTGGGACTAATGGACCGTCTTGGAGACCTTTTGAAAGAAAAGATACTCAGTATGAAACATAACCTTTTAAAGTTAAGGGACCCCCTCTGTACACAATCTGTATTTAGTATTAAACACCTAATATAATCTGATTTTTTTCATCCATTAGCATCCATAAACTGTTCTGCCTGTTGCCTTAAAACCTATCTCAGTGAAAAGACAACACATTTCTGTCAGCAAGCAGTACAATATTGAACTTTTAACATTAATTTTCAAAACATATGTATGACCTTGACCGTCTACGTTCTGCATGCCGGTCTATTTCTTCCATTCCCTCCTTGCCATCCTTCTTGATTTTTCTAGGTCTGCTTTTAATTTGCTGGTCAATGGTTTTCTGGACTGGCACAGGAATTCTTGGAAACAACGTGGAAAACCATTCAAGCTTAGTGAGGAAGGAACGAAGCATCTCCCCGATGGTCATAACACAACCCCCGCCTGCCTTCACATCCAGGTCCTACAAAATACAAGCAAAAAATATCCTGATGGTCAAAAATATTCTTTACTCATTTTCGAAATAAATGTTGCTACATTACTGCCCTCTCGAAGTCTCATGATTATGAAAGTTTGTCTCATATTCTAATACATTTCCTTTGAAAAATTCCAACTCTGCACCCTTTGGATTTGGCAGCATGTTACAAATAAGGAATGGGACTTAATATATATGCATGCAGGCACATACTAATCCTGCAGCCATCTGGATGGTAAGGGACTGTCGCTGAAGAGATTAACGCTAAATCCCCTTACACAGTCTGGTTATATGGTATGATCTTGTATTTAAATGCCACAAAGTTAAGAAGTCCTCTCAAGCTACATTTAATACTCCATTTTGTGGATGTACGACTGAGTACTATCATACCCAGTTCTGTGGCCTAAATCAATTAAGAACATCACTGCCTGTCTAAAAACGATCATAGAAAATCCTCTAGTACAAAATGGCAACCTAACAGAATTGGAAGCAATAGCAAACCAACTGCCATGAAGCAGTGAGTTTTCTAATTTAGAAATATGTAAAAAAATAAATAAATGAACAAATAATTGGAAACGCATAATCCATGATGACCATTGTCTCTGAAAAGGGTCATTACCGCATGAAGGCCTTCTTGCTATGCCCTCTCACAGCTCAGGACATGTTAGTCAGCTATTGTCAGTCCCAAACCTATAGTGCAAGCACACAAGGAAAGTGAGATTTGTTATCTAAACAGGAAGAGAAAATCTAAATGTAAAACTGCTTGCACTCACACACATTTAAGTGTTCAGATATACAGTTTTTCCAAATATAATCGCTGCAGAGATCTAAAGAAGAAAAAAAGGAGTTAAACGTAGCACCTGGAGAGCATGTACAGTTAAACAAAATAAACATAAGAAGCATTTTGAAAAGTAACTCTGTATCCTGTGAAGTTTTTCACAGCAGCATGACAAAAGAGGAACTGCTTCCACATTTTTAATAACTGGAGGGGAAAAGAAAACTTCTGTAGGTTTAAATAACTCCATTTATATATAAATTTGCTTCACCCTATTAAGCCTGACCATGACTGGTAAGAAACTTAAGACAAGCGATGCTAAAAGAAGCAGCTGGGAAAGAAACACCAATTCCAAAAATACACGGGGAGATTTTAAACAGTAAATCAATATATGTTGATAGCAAATATCTGCAAGAGCTGAAAAGTATAAACTAAAAAAGGTGCTTTGAATAATGAGCCAGTTAAGACCTGCACAATGAATCACTTTGTCAATTTATCACTTTATTGCCCTGGGAAGCAAGTTGTTTGTAGGACCCTAAAAAAATGAAGCCACCCCGATCCTCCTCCTGTTACAATGCAACATTGCAGTTTGTATTAGCTAGCACCACCTGGGGGAGAAGGAGGATATCACAGCAATGCAATTGAGATGGAAATTGTTTTTTGGTACAAACATACAGTAACACGGGTTTACCTGAAATAACAGCTGTTTCCTTTGCAGTGTGTTTGATACTTAGCATGAAAGAAGCTGTTTAAAATAAATACACTGTATTGCAGTCAGATACAGGTATTATTAACACTATTTTTAATACAAGTATTCATTTGGTCATCATTTGCAACTACAACATTTGATATTTCTTGAAGTAGATGCCTACAGTTACACTGAAGAGTGCAAGTGATCCTTCCTGTTCTATTCTTAAATCTAGGGTCATTTAAAACCTGCTTGATAAATACACATTGCAACAGTTTTTAGCAGATCATATATTCCACTTCATAGGCTAAGAAACCTCACCCAGCAGCTTCTACTGTTTTTCCAGAAAGTAAATCAGAACTGGGGTACCAAAGAAATTCTGCTATCTGACTGCATAATAATGCAGCCCCTTTACTGAACTTCTTCAGTTCGCAACTGAGGTTTCTTTTTTGCCCCATTAGCAGAGACATTAAGGCTGTTACTAGAAACAATGCCACCTTATGCAATAATTAGGCTAGCTGCTTCTCCTCTGAAGAAATGCTGGATTTAGTTATTCCAGGACATGAATGACTACCACAGAGATTTCTGGTAGTAGTATTTTTCAAGGTGAATATCGGTTTCCACAATATACTTCCCTCTCTTTTATGGAAGCAACAATTCCCCTGTAACAGAAATAAATGAAATATACAAATTTTGCACTCTCATGTCCTACTGTATCTTGCTTTAAAATAATTATTTTCCTATCAACTGCACAGAAGCCACACTCACACAGCCTGCTGTCTGCATTTTGCTTTAGTAAGTGTCTTTCCTGTGGCTTTGTAATACTTGACAGTAACATCATAACCAGTGAAAAATTCTGTTGATTCTTTGAAATCCAAGAAAAATGACCCAGGTCTCAGCTCAGACCCGCTTCCTACACTAACTAGTGCAATTAGAAGAACATAACATCACAACATTCAAACTAGAGAAAACCTTAAGAGTGCTTAAACCTAAAGTAGTAACATGAAAAGAAACAAAAGAAAACAAATTATTACCCTCGCCGACATACCTCTTCGTCATCAAGAAAGGATTCAAACCAGTCCCAGAGATCTGTAGGTGGTTGTGTGTACCTTTACGTAGAAAAAGAACAAAATTTTAATACAGCTTTCTGGATATTAAATTGGTCATTAGTTGATTATATTGATACTTACCTAATATACATAAATCCAAGAGCCCTAATATATGGGGAGTCTGTATGAGTTATAAGGCCCATCACTTGCTTACGAGTGAGTTTCAGTGTAAATAACTTGTAGAGCAGACAAAAGGCAGTAGACACAATTCCTCCAGTTCCAACACCACGCACCTTTCAAAAGAAAAGAGTTAGGAAACAACGCAGGAGTCACAAAGACATTATCAAAATCTACAAAAGAATATGAGAGCTAACATAGGATAAAATCTTAATCTCCAAACAGAGTGATGGGAAAGAAGTAATACTCCTTGCATCCACAGCTCTGGAAGCAATGGAAATAAACAAACTCATTCTAATAAATCCTTTTGCATCTAGGGAGTGAGCCAACATACAAGTATTTTTAGCTATGCTTGGAAAATGTATTTACCAGACAGAAAAATTTAAGAAGGCACGTACTTCTACTTACCCCTCCACACATCCCTGTCTGGCCTGCTGTTTTTCTGCTCCCCTTCTCCCATGGTTCAACATGAGTAACCTGAAAGAGAGAAAAGAATAAAAGAAAAATTACAACCTCCATAATGTTTAGCTGTCTATAAAAACCTAATTTAAAAAATAAATACCCTGAATCAATTTTAAATACCTTCTACCAAATTCAAGATCAAGTCTGCTTTGTCATTAAAGCAAATAATTTTGATATTTAACTACCACATTAAGAAACTATAGGCAAAATAATGGATGTTTAAATAAAAGCATCCATGCTTATGCTCAATTCCATGTGCTTTCAATATGACTAGATCCCATAATTATATTTTCTATAGACAAACAACTACCTTTATCTACACTGTCTCTTGACAAGTTTAGTAATACCTGCTGATAATAGGCACAGAAATAAAAATCTGTAGTCTCATATTCATCAGACTCATTTATGCAGTGAGCTTAGCTAGATAAGTCATGTTCTTGGATAAAACAGTTCCTAAGTACTAATGAGTAAAGCTTGCCTAATTAAAATCTTCTGACATCCATTTAGAGATAACTGCATGAACATAGCTAACCAACATAATTGCTTAAATTTGACAGTAAGTCATAGGCCACAGTTTTAAGTTAAATACCACAGAAATGCCTCAGATACATTTGAAACTGGAATTCAGAGAATGCCTGGCTCAACAAACAAATGGATTACCTAAGCACATCACCTAAAAAAAAAATAGGTAAAAGCAAGACAAAGTAGATTGGTTTTATAATGAACTGGTGGTAAGAGTTTGTGGGCAAGTTGTACCATTGTTCTCAAATTAAAATCCTTTAACAGTACATGAAGCAAAACTAATTATGTACACAATCACATTAAATCAGAGATACACTAACAGCTTGGAGATTTTGTTTTGTTACAGTTGCTGTCTTATCCAAATAACAAACATGAGAGATGCCAAAACTGTAGAATTAAAAATCCACTGTGACTTCCTGTATTATCAGCATCATATGAGAAGCCCACAAATACTATGAAAATAATACTGGACATCCCTCTGATTGTTTACCATTTTCCTTCACACAGAAAATTAAAAGTATTTTTTAATCAAAGGACAGAGTATGACACTTCCACAACAGTAGTCTTCAATTGTTTACATTAGTTGCATTTATTGACCACAATCAATACAAGTATGCTGGTTTATACAGATACCAATAAAAAAGCCCAAAGCCCTAAAATCAATATTCCGTTCAGAAAAGACTATTTAAAGTTTTGGTCCTGCAAAGACTGCTGCATATACTTGTTGGAAGTACAGATTAAATGGAGTTGAGGACATGCACATGATGCTGAGATCAGGGATAAAGAAAGAGGAAGTCATCCACTTCACAGATACAGAACTGGAGACCAGAACTACAACTGAAATAATTACAATATCTAGACAGAATCCCTGTCTTCAAAGATGGTCCCTGTCAGGAGCTGCCACTGTGACTTAGGACAGCATTTGCTGAGAATGCAGCACTTGGCATTCTTCAGTTTTTCAAACTGAGTCACTTATTTTGGTTCTCAAAGACCAAGGAACTGAAAAATACACCTGCTATGGTCGATATCACACTAACTTTTAAAAAGTCAGCAATTTTCCAGGAAACCTAAAACATGAACAGAATTAAAATCTTCTTAGTAGCATCAAAGTACCTTAATTGTCAATTTGTCTTCGCCCTCACATCTATTACTCATAAGTAAGTGGCTAAGTTTTCATTTTATTTAGCATGCAGTTTTGAGTCAGAATAGCTGTCAAGTTGAGGAAAACTTGATATACATTGGGATTAATAAGCAGATATTTAGTGGTATGTCAAAATGCTTCCCCAATTAAGCCACTTACAGAATGAACCACTGAGACAAGCAAATGAGCTATCTGACCTACTGCAGTTGAGCTCTAGCAATACTAAGATGACAAATCCCATCAAATATTTTTTACCACATTTGAAAAGGTCCATGTAAGCTCTCAAATTTTCTTTTATACAATTTCCAGCTCTTGCCATCATTTGCAAAAATAAACTTTGCTGCTTTCTATTCTATTAGTCAGAATGAAGAATGTCTATCTTAAATGCAGCAAGTGGTAAATTAAGTGAAGAGAAGCTCTGTTGACAATCTGTTATTCTAAGTACTAAGAGAATTAAGCACCCTGCCCCAAATGACAGAGTGCAGAGAAATGCTGTCATTAGGATGAAAAACAGTAGCACTATCTTCATGAGTGCAAAGAATCTCAAAATACTTCCATGGAGTTATTTTTCAGAATTATAGTGCTGTACATAACCTGACTTGCCCTAGCTAAATGAGACAAAAATACTACCCTTTACCTTTTTTTTTTTTCTCCTCAAAGTATACGGAAACCCACAAACTGATACAGTAACATTATAAGCAGAATGAGTTCAACTGCGAAAAGTACCTCAAAACCCACCAAAATATGACTGAAGACAGCACCCTGAATTATCTAAGTTTTGCTCTCATTAACAGAACAAAGAGTTTGGCTGTGTTGATGAGCATTAATTATGCATACCTCTACCTGGGAGACTGTCTTGATGGAAGCCTCGTTGCAAAACTGATTCAATCCTGCTAACAAAACAACAACCGAGACATGGGTGCACCGATAAAATTCAGTTGTCTCCCTAGTGCATCCTACCTAACGCCGAAAGAAGCCCTAACATGAACCAGTTTCTGACTGCATGTGGAGGGAGAGCACCTAGCCTGACTGAGGAAGAAGGCCGCATGCAAGCTCCTGGTGAAACCACCTATGGTCACTACCACACCTTTTGTGTTGTTACACACCAGGTCGGGAACTGCTGGGCCGCGGCAAGTGCACGTCTCTGAAAGTGGCGTGCAGGTCGGGTCCCCTGCTCACGCTCTCCAGCCGAGAGCACAGTCCTTCGACGGCCATTTCACACCCCACTGCCTAGGCTCACACCTCCCACTTCAAAACTAACTTACAACTCCGTAATTTCAAAGCCGACATAAGACACATTTCTTTTGTAAGGAAAACAGCGCCCCGGTTTCCCACAACTAAGCGACAAAAGAGAGATCTGCTCCCATCCCAGGATGACTCCTGAGGAGTCAGGAAGGCTTGAGAGAACCCGCAGGCCGCCATCAAAGCCTTCCCCCGTGGGGAGCCCCGCCGCAGGGAGGCTCGGGCCGCCCGCACAGCCCCGCGGCGCCCAGGGCGCGGCCCGCAGGCTCACCTTGAAGTAGATCTCGTCCACCACTTCGTGGTAAGTCTTGAGCTCATAGAGCTGCACCTTGAAGTAGGGCGACGAGAGGATATTGGTGAGGATCATGGGGTTCAGGTTCATGGTCTTCTCATTCCCCCAGAGCGGCAGCACGTTGCCCTGTTTGCCGGAGGCCGCCGGCTTGGGGGCTCCGCTCTGCAGCTGCTGCTGGGCCGGCGGGACGGCCCCCGGCTGGTGCTGGGCCGCCTGCTGCCCCTGGCAATTGCCGGCGCCGA